ATTGTAGTTAGAGTAGTGCTGGAAGAGGAAGGCACTGTCCATTACAGAGCACAGTTTGATTAACCGTTCCCCACACCAGAGTCCAACATCTTGTTCATCGTTAGAGTATGTCAATATTCCTGGACCATCCCTCTCATCTCTGCGATATATTCCCTACAATTAAAAAAAAACAACAACAACAATTTCACTTGAAGTGATTTCAAGGACTCTGATTAATTAAGTTGGTTGAATCAATTAAAAAAAAACAGCAACAATTTCTCTTGAAGTCATTTCAAGGACTCTGACTAATTGAGTTAGTTGAACATAATCACTTGTAGAGTGATTTTTTTCACTTCAAATTATACAAACCTCAAATTTATTGCCACTTGGAAAGAAAAATGTACCAAAACCTTCTTTCTTGTCATTTTCAAAGTGACCTTCAAATTTTGTACCATCAGGCCAGGTATAAACTCCTTTTCCATGCCGTCTGTCTCTATAGAACTCTCCTTGATAGCTCTACATGGAAAAATTGCACTGTCAATCAGAACCTCGCAAATAGCAGATGCAGGTAAAGATTCCATTCTCACTCAAGATGTGCATACACCAGTATTTAAACAATTGCAGTCTAATAAGTTTCTTTGATTTCTTTTTTTCACCATCCCTTGCTTAATTGTGAAGCTGCTACCACTATCTTAGAACCATTTGAACTGAGAAATATGTAGAAGTCAACATGAAAGCGCAGCATAAACAAGCTCTGTCCATAAGTGAAAACATGGAACTTGCATTCACAACCGCCTGACACAATCTGTTCACATTAATTGCTCTCCTATGTGCACTCTCCTTTCAGATCTATTTTATCTAACTTAAGCCTATCCTTTCAGAATGCAATTAGAATAATTTTCAAAAACATAGAGCCACATTATAGTTCGCAGAAAGAAGCCACCTGACAGAGCCGCTGGTATGTTTTTATAATAAATAGAGTCCCCTAGGGAATTCACACATCAGTTTCGTAGTGTTTACGCATCAAATTGGCACTATTGAGTCGATAATTTTCATACATAAATGAAAAATGAAAGGAAAATGAAAGTAATAAAAGATGTTCAGCTGAGATATCTTTGCCGGGATCAATGGTGGCGTTTTCGAGTATACACTCAAAAAGTTAATCGGTCAAATTAACGCCATTCACTTTAGCACCCAACCAAACTAGAGGCAGCTTTGGTGTGGAAATTTACGAGTCAATATCCTTGAAAATCTGGCTTTTCTGTTAATTATAAACTGCAGCTTAGTTCACATTTTCCTTGACATCTTTGCTAAGCGAAAGTAAAACATCTCGAAAATTTAAGTAAACATCGAGTAGAACTGTCCTAGGATTGAACGAAAAGCAAACAAGGACCTGTTAGCGGCCAAATTAAATATTCTCCAATACATTTTGTTCCAGAATTACAGTTTTTATTCTAAGCTGAGTAAACTAAGTTAAACCCGTAAGACGCCTACTGTCTCAAACATAATCCCCGGTCTTGTCATGACAATTACGGAAAACTGAACCAAAATCGCGAAAGCAAGTCCTTCACTTAAACAAATTGACTCTATTTCAACGCACAAGTCTCACACCCTATGTATACAGTACCTTCTGACTCCGAGAACACATTTAAAACGAAATTTTGGAGGTGTATAATATAATTTGAAACCATTAAAAAAATCGTTTACTAAAATCGAAGACGGTTAAAAAACCGCTTTCTCCGTTACGGCCATTATCTCATCTCTTACTACAAGTACCTCTTTATCAGCCCAAGTCAGCGTTCCAGAACCATGTCGAAGATCGCGTTCAAAAGCGCCTTCGTACGTTGAACCATCAGGCCAATATTGTTTCCCATAGCCATGTCTTGTGTTATCTACGTATTCTCCGTCATAGCAAGCTCCATTTGGCCACTTAAAGATCCCCTTACCGCTCTTCTTGCTTCCCTCGAGTTCGCCGTGATAAACAGCACCGCTCTTATATTCCCGTCGGTATTGGCTTGTGTTTAATCGCAACACACGATTCGTAGAGGAAAAGTTTGTCCCCCTTCGCATACCTCGTAACACACAAGCAGTATGCTCTTCGTATAAAAAACTGCGATGCTCGGCACCCTAACAGAGGATTCTAACGCCGATAGACGTAACAAATATTGACTGCTCATCTGCATTGAATGAAGGCGCTGAGAGCTAGCTGGACTGTCTTTGTTGTCAGTGTTGCTAGGTCACCAAATATGGATAAGTGCTGTTTGAAGCGAAACAAAAGAAGCCAGACGAGAAAAAAAAAACATCCTCTTCAACTTTAATTGACTTATACCCTTGACTTTATTTCACGATTCATTTTTTTTTCAAAAGTTGCATATTTTTTGAAAGTTAAAGGAAATAATTTATGCAATAAAAATGGACTTACTTAATTTTTAAATAACTTGAAATTGAGGGAACTTTGGATTTGAAGAGAAAGCATGAGTCATTGAATGTAAACAGGTACTCAGACCTTTATGAACATGCGTACTATCAAAAAATGTTTGAAAGTAATTAGAATCTAAAATTACCCAGGGAAAGACTAATGTCAAATTTCCCCTTCAATGTAACAACACTCTTATGCAGGAGCTCCATGAAAAATAAATATTATCACACAGGGAATTTAACTTCAAATTGTGAAACCTTCTTCATTAGAAATATAAAACTGAAACTAACTCATTGATGGTAGAAGGGTTTTACTGTATGGCAGAGTCTATTTCTTTTTTATTTCACACTCCTAGGAGCATTGCATATTTATTGTGGTTAATATCTTTTTATCATTCATCATTTAATGTTAACAAAGACTTCTTGTTATCTGTAATTTGATTTGATGCTTATCTTGTCCCTCCCACATGAGTAAAAAAGTACTATAAGTGGGAAGGAGGAAGTGGGGGGGGGGGAGAGAGAGGGAGAGAGGAGAGAGATTTTATTGTAACATTCCATGTGGTAATTCCGATTGAACTTAGAAAATGTCTAGCTAAAAGTCTATGTAAAAAAAGTAAATCACAAAATATTACATATGTATCCTTTTGAAGAAATTTATTTATTCCCCAATAAGGCAATTGGGATGAAAATTTATAACTATTTTTAGGAAGTCAATGAAAATGAAAACCAGTTATAATCAATCCAGGTGCAAATGCACATTCCCAGCAGCCTGTCAATAAATAAGAGTCCCAAACCCCTTTGTTTTTATGCTTTGACCTGGGAATGGTTTGGCTGAAATTGTCCAATCAATTCAAGTCAATTATCCTGACAACATCCAACCAGGTAATACTAATCTACAAAACCATGGCAAACTGTAAATACCAAAAAATATATATATTCCTTTGTCCAAGAGGTTTGATGCTTAAGTTATGTAATATATATGTGACGGGTTTAATAAGGAGAAAAATCATGTTCAAAAGCATGGAGCCAATACGAGCAACATAATTACATAAGTATCCAAATAAACTGGTCAAAAAAAATGTTCCAAACTCAGAAAGGTCCTCACACTTTCTCCTTTGCAATTTGCCAGAGTATTACACCTCCTGAGAGCTCTACACTCTATTCAAGGAGGAGAGTTTTAACAGAGAATAGTAAAAAATTAAACAAATTCTATGATGATAAAACCAGGTCTACAGAGTTCCATGTTGTAAGATGTCAGATATAGACAAGGTGGGTCAGGATACCCTACTGATCCTTTTTTTTTAGAGGTCCCATCTATGATCAAAGTAATTAAAAAATTTGGTCATTCAGGTAGGTAATCAATGTCAATTACACTCAGAATATTTTCCACCATATTATTACCATTCTTAATCTCCTGATTAACCATCAAATTGGCAAAATGGCTCCTGAGGTGCTCCAGAGCTCTCTTGTTCAAATCATTATCATGTTTTTCCTTTTCAAACTCACTTCTCAACCTGTTGATTTCTTTCTGTAACTTTTTAATTTCAAGCAAATGCTGTTGTGTTATAAAATCCTCATAACTTTTAAAATTTTCCTCTTTTTCTTTTTCCATTTTATCAAGCTTAAATTGGAGATGTATCTTGTTGAGCTTCTCTTGATTCAATTCTGCTTGCGTTTGTTTGAGCAGATTCTCAGTTTCATCTCTTTCAATTTCTAATTGCTTACGTTCCTCCCGACAAATTTTCAAGTTAGCGTGATATCTTCTCAAATCTTCTTTGAGTGCCCTGTAGTTAACTTTTAACCTCTCATATTTTTTTTTCAATACTCCTAAGTTGCATTTGACAGCTCTCTCTGATTCAGCGACGTCTTTAAACTTTCCCTTCCAAGAATGAATCTCCTCTTGTGCCGATTCTAACATGGCGGCGAGCTTGAGATTTTGCATTTTAGCTTTCTGTAGAAATCTACGCAAAGTTTGCAGCTCATTTTCATTCCAGATACACTCATCTTGGTCCTTACGCTTCGGTTTGCTCTGTCGTTTCTTCTGTTTTGAAACGATTTGTCGACTCTTTTCCAGTCGCTCCACAAGAACTTGGACGTCTTCATCAGTAGATGTTTTCGCCCTTTGCTCCTCGAAATAAACTCTCCTATAAACGTCATCGAGATATTCAAGCTTTTCTGAACTTTTCTCGCCTTCTTCTGGGCTTTTCAGCAATTCATCTACGCTTCCAAACTGGAATTTTGGAGGAAAAACTTCTGCCACCCAGTGATCCGCCATGTTGAATACGATAACTGTCAGGCGTTCTCAGTTGAGACGAATTAGGCTTGGACTCTAAAGTTGAGAGTGGCGGGAAAATGCGCCGCGGGAAAGCTCAAGTTGTTTCTGCACCAAATTCATAGGAAATATTCTAAGCACACTTTACAGAACACCTTACAGGTAAGCCTCGTTTTATATTTGAATTACAACGTGAAAAATGATAATAGGTCGATTGCAATAGATTTCGCGTACTATTTAAAATTACTTCGAATTTTAATTTCGAAGGAAGTGCATCAACATCTGGCCAGATGCTGTAGTTACACTGACATTAGTGACATAACCCTTGAAGTTTTCGGTTCAATAGTTTAATACCTATCCCTTTTGGCGGAATTGAGTACATGGCCTAGACAGGACCATACTGATATTCTGTAGTAACTCAAACTGTTTATTGGCTGATGTAATGGAAAAAATGAAATATTTACATAATCAGTTGACAATGTCAACTCGCCTCAACGGCATAATCGCGCACGAGCTCGCTGTAAAGCAAAGTTCAAAGTTGGCTTTCCCTAATCAGCTGTGTGCATGTAAAACTATGTCTTCCTGATAAATTTCCTAATTTCCCCTCTAAATTCTACTTGTTACATCACTTGAAACTACGAAAAAAAAATTGACTCTTAAAATCGATTCAGACGAACAAAGAAAAGACATATTCAGCAAATTTCTACATGTTGTGAAAGTCAGACTCACCTTATATGAGCCTTTTTCTGTATATACAAATACCCCGTGGACTTGAATTGTGCTCACAATATGTACGCTCTTGTTTTGCAAGTGATAGCCTTATATTTACCCAAAAATTAATTTTCAAACCATTTTATATTTGTCTTAAGAAACTGTGCAACCTGACTAGAAGCTATTTATTACAGCATTTTGCACCAAAAGCGTGTTTTACTGCCTAAGCTAGTTCTTATATGGTCATTCAAATGATTATCTAGTCTTTTTTGGCATTGTGTTGTGTCTTTATGTGCCATCTAAGGTGTGATGATGTAATGAAAGCCTTTTCGCAGAATTGGCATTGGAAGGGTTTCTCTCCGGTGTGTGTTCGCTCGTGTGCTTGGAGGGTGCCATACTGGGTGAATCCCTTAGGGCAGTACCTGCACCTGTAAGGCCTCTCCCCGGTATGTTTGTACATGTGAGTCTGTAGGTTGCGGTACTGAGTGAAGGACTTGGGACACACTTTACACTTGTATGGTTTGTCATCGCTATGAATGAGGAGATGGCGTTGTAGATGACCGTAGCGAATGAATGAGGCCGAACAGATGTCGCACTTGAATGGCTTCTCTCCTTTAAAAATAAATGCAAAAATATGAGATGGTTTTCAGTAAACAGACGTGTTCTAAGATGGAATATCTACGTAACATCAACATCGGGTTTCGAAGTAAGAAAAGACTCATAGATTTTGCCTCTCTTCTCGACTTACATCAATTGTCTTATATTACTAACTTCTTTTTCATGCTGCCCTTGAACTTTCCAGTATCCGCTTGTATTCCTTGGTGAGGATCCGACGTTCTTACATGATCTTTTCCTATGTTAGCTGTTAATGGACTTTTTCAAGCTGAGGATCTCTTAAAAATTACTTACCACTCTCCTTGCAGAATTGATTAGACGATGACTTCTCGCTATTTCAGAGAAGATATCTTATCGAGCAAACAGGTGGTGAGAATAGATGACCAGGAAATGTATAACAGAAGGACAAGAGAGTTGCTTATCAGACTTTGAAAGTCTAAGATACAATTTTGAGTCAGCCCTACCTTTGTGTATATACATGTGGGTATGCATCTCGTCCCTCCTTGTGAAAGCGCGCCCGCACTCCTCGCACTTGTAAGGTTTCTCCCCAGTATGTAGGCGCACGTGCATCTTCAGGGCACGTGACGTAGTAAATGCAAATGAGCAGACCTCACAGACATAAGGCCTCTCTCCTGTGTGCATGCGAATATGCGTTTTTAAGCCACTGAGTCGGGTGAAATCCTTGGCGCATAGACGGCACTTGTACTTTTCACCATCTTTAATGAAAAGATCTTTGACTTGTTCACGTGCCAGGAAAGTGAACATTGCTGAGAAGGGCAAAGTCCCTGGCGCTCTGGTAGTACCCCCCATATGCGAAAGCACGTGCTTTTGAAAGTTGCCAAACCACGTAAACTCGCGGTCACACTCCTCACATTTATATGGCTTATTGTTGTTATGAATGAGAAGATGGCGCTGGAGATCACTAGGGCGAGTGAAGGACATCACACAGTAGTTACACTGGAATGGCTTTTCCTTGTCCGACTTAGCTGCTTCTTCAGAGACAGGGGTTGAATCGCGCGAGGGAGATTGAAATGGTTGCCCCAGGAATGAAGCGATAGAGGTAGAATCTTCTGATGATGGAAAAAGAATCGGAGTTCCCGGAAACCGGGACATTTGATTCTGAAATTCTTTTACAACGTTATGAACTGATTCCACGCTTGTTTCGTATTCGGACATATCCAGTGGTTCCCAACCGTCCCATCTTGGGGTATCCATGGCAGATGGCTGGATTGACTCATTTTCCTCAGGGCGGGGATTTTTTTCTTGTGTTTGATTAGTTTTAACTAACAGAAACAAGGAAAAGAACAAAATTGAACTTTAAGGTGATGCAAACAGAGACTCGCGTCGGGGGGCTGTAAGGGAGTTTCAATGTTATTTACTCATATCTATAAACACTATCAAAACCTCAAAAAGCATTTCAGACCCCACAAGTATTTTCTATTGTGCAGTTTGATTTGATTGAAATTCAAATTATTTTTTAAGCTTTGTTAACTTCAATGTGGTTTAATCCTCTTCGCGTATGTTAAATCGTAAAATTTAGTTTACATTTGTCTTTGTCTTTCCTTACCTAAAACTTTCAAGAACAGATATCGAGGTAAAAGAACTAAGGAATGATAAAACGTTTTTTAGTTTGATGAAGAGCCCAGATAAAGTCTTCGAGGTCATTCTTTTGGTATTGTATTATGGGACACTAGGATGCTATGCTGTCGATATAGCATCGGCAACACGATTACTCCGAAGTTTGAAAATAATCATTTGTAAATGATATGAAATAGGAATTGGCAACACGATTACTCCGAAGTTTGAAAATAATCATTTGTAAATGATATGAGACTGGAAGTCCCAATAATTCTGTCAAAAAATTTTGAAATTAGATATTTTTGTTATTTAAAATAACTGCAAAGTCTTACTTTTATAATTAAAATCAGACGATTATAACTATTCAGAAAAGTCCAAGCAATACACGAACTAAGGTCTCCTACAAATTACCGAGCAAAGCGATCTATTTACGTTTTTTTCTCATTAAAGAGTACTTAAATAAAGGACTCTTAACATTTTCTGATGAGCTGAAAGGGTTGCACTGCATGCTATTTAAAATGGAAAATAAAATTAAAGGAAACAACTTAAAGACAAAGATTTGAACGGCAGCCTAACAGATTGAATGTACTGGTATGTCAACTGGAAAGCGGTCGAATTGTTAAAAAATTAGGAAAAATCAGTTTTTCATTATCTTTAAAAACGGCCACCTTCGGGTTACAGAACAATCTCATAAGCCCGATTGCAACTGGCAAAAATTCATTTCTACCGCTTCGCCAGCGATGCTGTGACTTGTTTCTTATGAATTTTCCTCCCCGGCTCCACTTGTTGGAGCCCTCCACTGACATAAGCGTTCAAAAAGGTACCAGCGAAATGTCGGGCGTAACCTGACAAAACACTTAAGGCCACACAATAAAAAATTTCACGACACGGAACGTAATAGCGTCAAGTTATACCTGCCTTGCTTAAAAAAGAGGAAACATTTAAAATTAAGTAAATATTAGAGACAGTAAAACAGCGAAATAGCTCTCACGGGCATAATATTTACATGCGACAAGTTTCAAGAAATATTGTTCGCTACTGACCGAAACAAGCAAATTGATGAGGTCTTTGTTTGCCTTGTTTTTTAAGATATTATCCATCAGTTGCATGGAGGGAGTTATGGTTTGATCTTTAAGATAAAGCAACTGGCTTCGAAGTAAATTGATGTCATGTTCCTTGTTTCATTCCAGACCATATTCCTTGTTTCATTCCAAACCAGCAGTGAATCAGCGCTTGTTTTACCGAGTCGAGTATCAGCAGATGCCAAAAGGAAATGAAATTTTTGCTCACAACTAACGACCCTCCGGCAACGATTTCAGCCCTTTGAATATTCCGATGATAGAAACAGATACTAACTCCCGATCGATATAGCATGGTTTTTGTTTCACCCCATTCAAAAGTGTTCTTCAGCCGAATTTGTACATGTACGGTTGGGTTAAGTTTAGGATATCAAAATGGGCAACTAATATCTAAAACTTATAATCGAAAACGTTTCAAAAAACAGAAAATATTATCAAGGGTGATTTGAAATCTATTTATCTTCGTTCTCAAAAAGACCTAGAAATTAATAGCTTGTTAAATTTTTAGAGGTTATTGTATAATTCCTTTTGACCGGCTTACAACAGCGCTTTTATCTCATTACCTTCCAAAGACTTTTTTTTCTGTTGGATGTTTTTATTACCAAAACCTGTATATGAACAGAGCCAAGCGACCCAAATGTAGAGATTTCTTATTTCGAGCACGAAATGTGCGAAGATTGCGACGTTAGAACATAGGGAAAGAATAAGTTAAATGAATTCAATCAATGTACAAAAGCGTATTATATTAGTTATTGTTGAATAAATGAAGGAGTGTGTTATCCTTGGCTCTTTTTTGGCATAGAATAAGAGGAGTTTTTTTTCCGAATCAAAAATTTTTGTACTTAATAAAACCGTTGCCACCTAACGTCCGAGCATAACAAAAACAAATTCGAGCACAATGCACATCGCACGATTTCTTTCCTACTGAATGATACTTAAAATGAAATCAATTATATTTAAAGGAAGCCAATTGTATATTCAGGAAGAAATTAAATGGACTAATTCTTTGGAGCCCATCGCGTTGCTTTGACCACACCGTACTGAGTTTCATATTATTTTAGGTGACGCAGTTAAATGAAAAGTCGAAAAACAGCCGGAAAATGTGTAGGCGTTAACTTTGTATCATAAATCTGGCTATAAGCTAATGTAGAGAGCAGAACCCGCAACTTCCAGCCATTTTTTTCTAAGTAATGGTTCCAAACACACAATTCAAGTAGTTAACCACTTAACTGTGGCTTGTATAAATTTCCTGAAGGCTTTATACAAGGTTCGTCAAAACTGTTTTACATGTCAATATCAGATTCAGGGCAGTTTTACAAGCTGACAGAGAGTTCATTTTTCACACAAAGCTTAATGTGAAGACCACACTTTGTACAAAGCACTCCGATGAAGGGCATACTTCCAAATTGATGGCATTTAAAATAAAGGTTCAAATAATAAAATTTGTATCTCTAAGTGATTTCCGTGCGCCGCCTTTAAAAAGTGACTGTATGCATCGCTGCCCTACTACAATGCACGTCTTGTCCCCTAAGAATTTGATGCATTCTGTTTGTTTAGCGGTTCACCCATCTAAAAGTTTGGAATTGGGGTTGACAACTTGTGGAAATTTCCTGTGAGTTGTTCGTTGATTCTCTGCCATCTGAAAAGCACATGGAATAGCGGGTGGGAAAGCCCTTTCGCTGGGTTAATTTAACTTTGGCTTTATCTAGATAAGATTTAACCTGTGATATGCCAAACAGCTAAATAGAAAGAACATGAATATTTAAAAAGGGCCTTTTCTCGGATCGACCACTTTTAAACACCTGTGTTAAAGAGAGAAGCAAAAGGTGATTCTCTCAGCAGGAGACTAAACATTTAACGAAGGACGGCAGTTTAACTGTTCCAATCTTTGGTGTTCCATTCAATTCCAGTCCATGTATTTACGTTCTGACGAACTCTGCTACTCTCGTTTACATTTACCCCAAAATTACGTTTAATAAAAACATAATATAGATTTATAAACTTCTCTTTGTATACATAGTGGATTTTAATATCTATTTTGCGGTCAGTCCTCGTTACGGATATCTCCTAATCTGACGGATTTAAAATTGTCTATCATTAGCAATTTTATTGCGATTTTCACATTTTGAGTCCCTTTTTGCATCTCGCAGAGCTGTCACATTGACTGTTAACCGTTCAAACTCGATACGATTCATTGATCGGGAATATTGTTCTATCAGACATTGAGTGCGAAACATTCAATTTCAATACAAGAGCACTCTTAAAGAAAAAAATTCTTTGAGAGTCTTGATTGTGGGATTTTAAACTATAGATGTTATCCGACTTGAAACAATTTTTTCTTTAAGTGAATTGATTATTTACTTTTGAAGATGTAGTGGTTTGTTGACTTTTCGTTGCAGGTTGAGTGAACTTTCTTCATGGTAAACTCGGCGGGGATTTTCAATGATTTCACCGATTTACTCCACTGCGATATGTAAAAACGTGTAGTTAATTTTCGCACCGGTGAATTTTTGGCTATTTCACTCCTAAGCCAAGGCACGAACCTTTTTTAAAGCTATTCTTTTAACAGAAGAAATTCGTTTACGGAAAATTAGCCGGATTGGGGCGGGCATATTTGACATCTACTTGTTACATCTACAAGCCACAATATTTTGTAAAAGTCGTGATTTCAGCTACTTTCAACAAGATTTAAAAAGGCATTTTACCTTCTGCTCCCCTGCTGAGATGGGACGTTATTCCAGTTGATTTCTTGATCAAGAATGACTTGGGCATCTTGAATGGTAACAAAACAATGTTCTTGACGCTAGAGTAAATATTGGCGTTAGGGAACCAAAGCGAGCATCAAAACCTAGATTGACACTGAAATGGTTTTCTCAAGGAGCAATGTAATGTGCAACGCACCTGCCAAAAATTGACCAATCACATGGCTTCACGTTTTGCAGCGCGCATGCGCGAGCTATGCGCTTCACAATGGAGGAAGCGCACTTGTAAAGAGCGATATTGTTTAACGCTGTAACCCGTTAATTATTCCACATTGTTCGTTAGTTTTCTGGCCTAATTGGAGAGTTGTTCGTGTTTATGGCAAGAAATAATTGTACGGTTTGTACGAGGAGAGTGAAAATTTCTTAACAGCTGTCGCTAGCTTTATTTGTACGGATATGTTACTCAAGGCTATAAAAAGCTCTTTGAAAGCAGGAAACTTACTTTCAAGGAAGTTTACCGTTTTATTTATTTTAGTCTTTGTAGCACTTCAGCACTTTCCTATTACTCAATCACAACAACGGCAAATGTAAACTTTTTTACTCCATTTAACAATAAAGTAAATTTTGCCATGATTCTTACCCACAAACAATCCATTATGAATGAGAGAGACATTTGTAGAGGATTACATTAAGGCTTCGCAATTAAGAGTTCTTCTAATGAATAATTCTGTTTGCTTCAAAGTGCTGCTAGCCGTAATTACCTGACTAAACGCTACCCACATCAGAGGAAAATAATAATTGCTTTTTATGTCCGCAGCCGAAAATACGCCCAGTAAATAACATTTTCACGCTTTCCTTTTCAAATTTCCTCCCTCAGGGAAAGGAAGCGGCCAGAAATCTCTTCAAAACACGACTGATTTTTGGAATATCCTTTGAACAACCGGTAGTCTAGTTATATCGACAATACAACGGCGGTGGTTAGATAGATTTTCGCTTTGATTGCTAAATTACGAAACAAACCGCAGATTAAAGTTCTTGAAAGCTGACTGTATCTGTTAAGTAAAACAAGAACTATGGTATAATTTAACAAGAACGATGTATACACCAAAAGGTTATCGAACTCCGAAAAAAACCTGTTTATTAGACAGATGTTGAAATGGCGCAGAAGATAAGTTTGTGCTTTGCGTTGATTGTATGTTATCTCTAGGGAGCTTTGAGCGTTTGTAATAAATGGTGTGATTAATCTAATTTCAGTAACTAAGCCTTGAAGATTTAGCAGTTAACACTAAAACCATAGAGAGATTTTAGTTACTGTATATCTAGACATTGGTCAATTGATATGCAACTGGAATTAAGGGGTTTCTGAATCATAGGTCGTCGAAAATGCTAAAAAGAAAAATTTGCGCTTGTAGATTACAAACTTCGCTCTTTTTTATTTTAAGAAACATTTCTTTCATTTTCTTTTCTTTTTCAATTCTCGAAAATCAAAAATTATTGTACTATGCATATGGTTATGAACATCTTTTGTCAAAGAAAGCCGCTTCGGGTTTCTTTCTTTTGGTGTAATACATTTTCATTATCTGTACTCTACATCTGTGAAACCATTGCAGTCAGTTAAGAAAATGAGTTCCTTTTTCTTTTAAATCAGTGGCCAGGAAAAAGGTACAATAATAACGGTACGTATGAAAATGATTGAACAAGTACACCATTCAAATTATATCTCTGTGATTCCCTGGAAATTGTTTTCATTCATAGAACCTTTTGTTTCGAATTTTGTATTGTAAGCGTCGACATTTTGTATTAATCATTACTGAACCATGGACTACCCTTTTTCATTAATTTGGAGATAATTTTTAGGGGTTTGGCTGAAATTCAACAAAAGAACAAAAACACTCGCCATGGAAACAGAAACAGTCTCTGGAACACCTCTTTTTTACATATATTTTAGCAGCAAAAAACTTACGCGTGATTCCTGGAAAAAATTGACACACCAGGAAGAAAACCTACCTGTTACATTCGTTTACAGGTAAAATTTACCTAAGCAAGTACGCTGAAAGAAATCCGACAAATCTGTCCAGTTAAACGTTTTTTGAAGAAAGGTTTCGTGTCTCATGCGTTTTTACGAGTCTGTATTCAATTTGCGCTTTTTCATAACATAAAAGAAACAAACACAATGCATGCAATCAAATTATTTACTGATATTGGTCGGCACTCGAATTTGGTTGGAACTGTGCTTCTTAATTAATAAACTAGTTTTGACGATGAAGACTTTGGCATCGAACGACATTAAATGAGATTAAAACAAACGAAACTAAAACCCGACATTGGCTTGCCACAATGCTTTATTCAAAAGCTCGATAGGATAATAGGAATCTACAGGCTTAACAGATAATTGGAGATGAGTCAATCCCATAAACAGGTCTGAGCGAAGTTTGTTATTGTTCTTGAACCACAAGTGACGCCAGTGAAATTAAGAAAAGAAGAATGGCATTGTTACAGGTTGGAGACAGAAAGTCAACTGCTATCCTTCTGAAACTCAGTCAACGTTTGATGAGAAAACATCATTCATTAAGTTATTTTCCAGTGCGCGTGCTAAGTACTTTGTGTACACCATGTGGCAAATTTTATTGTTCGGGGTTTCTTTTAATGAAAAAATTGTCTCTGGAACCCAACTGGTCGTTCTGGAAACTATTCGAAACCAAACACTAACGCAATGAGTAAACAGTTACATTTTTTGCAAACATTTTTACTTTACTTTACTTTAGACTCATATAATTTTTTTTCATCTTTTGTTTGATTCCAGACAGTTTCTTGTTGCTGAAAAAGACTAATAGCAAAAACCACAAAACTCCCACTTAGCAAATTAAACCAGGATTTAAAAGGTGACTGACAAATTGTCACATAAATTAAATAACAGAATAAAAATAAATCTGTTTCGTAATTAGAGGGAGACCGTAACTGTTCAAACTTTCACCATCGCCTCATTCGGAATCTGTTATCGCTCGGCCAAAATTTCACAATGAAACACAAAGAACCCGGCTAAATCCAGAACTTAAGCGACCATACATTTCTCTGGGTTTGAATTCATTGGCGTCAAAACAGCATTACACGCATGCGCCACTGCTCAAAGCTTCATAAATCATTCACACAAAAGTTCAAAGAAAGAAATATGTCAATTGGGTGTCAACACCTGTGGACATCAGGACTGTTGTTCACTGGAAAGTTCGTTCGAAGCCAAAATTTTCACACTTTGAGTTAAAGAGTTTGCAATTGTGTCTTGCGTTGGTAGTAACATCTGCTAATTGCTTTACTCCTCGTCCTGTTTTCACGTCCTAAAAACACCTTTTAGTAATTCTATTGAATTCGCTTTCACGGGTTTTTCCTTTATGCATTTGTTCGGTTTTTGGCCGACAGAAAAGGGATGTTAATGTTTTCTACCCCCTTCATCATATACAATAAAAATGGCTGCCTTAATTTCCTTCATGCGCAGAAAGAAAGATACCATAGATATTATTGGAATATGATGATTTCAGCTCTTTTTACGTAGATATTAACCCTCGAGCCCCAAATTCCCAAAAATAACTAACCGATTGGTGATAGAGTAGTTTGTGCCAGTTACGAAATAAGCCTGAACAAAATCCCCTCCCTGTTATTTTCTTTTTGACAAAAAAATTTATTTCCTTCATTTCCGGGAAAAATTCTCTTTCATGAAAAGCACAGGCTGAGTTTCGGCTATGTTTGAAGGTTGGTCTGCCTTTTAACTTATATTTTTCATGGACAACAACTTCTATACTGCTGTGTCTATTTATCTGTGTTTCCTCTGTGAAAATACAAAGTAACAATTATATGATTCTTTTTCTTGACGTTCTACGTGTTTTGAAGAACGAACAGTTACAAATACGATTGTTCAATCAAAACCAAACAAAAGATATATCAATACATCTATCGCGAAAAATGAAATATTTCCTAGGTTAATTTTATCATTTGTTCCATGTGCGAGAAAATACCTGTCAGTTGTAATCTGGCTGAAAAATATAGTCAAGTTTTGAAATTCGTCACTGACGTATCTTCACACTAACTTGAATAACGAATGTGAGTAATCTTTTACAGGATTTCCAATAAAAGTAAGACCGTTCGATTAGAAATCTTTATTTTTTTCCCTATTACAATTGCATGCACTAACCAAACAAGTCTCTAATAGATGAGTTTGTTGCAGGTAAAAATCAGTGAACTATTTTATCCTACCAAACACAGCGAATCTGAATGAACACAGATATGTAAGCTAGGAAATTTTTTTACTATCGTGAACAGTTATTTCGTGCAACTATGTGTAAACCAATAAAAGGGATGTTAATTTTCAACAGTCCAAGGTTTTATTATTGTTATTATCTTAACCTAAATTTTTTGGCCTGCCAAAACACAGGTTGGTAGTGATCACATTTGTTTATCTCTTGAAGTCTGTCAAACCCCTTTTTAGTTGAATGCGATACTTAGTCTTGGAAAGGCATCCTTTCTAAATTAATAGAAGCTGGACTATCAAAAAAAAGAAAACAATTATAAACCTTGAAAAGCTATCTGAGGGTTTCCTAATAAATATTGAACTGCTGCAAATTTGCTTTACTCGTTTAAAAAGCAATCGGCAATCACTTCAAAAATCTGTTAATTGTACAATGTACGACCAGCGTCAGTTCTTTATAAGTTGAGAGAAGTGCGTTCGCGGTCCGCAAGTGCTCGTCATATTCTCATTTAGAGTGAGTAAAGGCACCGGCAGTCCTAACTTGTCTCTAGTCAACTGAAAGTTCTCACAGGCAGTAAGTTCTTTTCCAAAATTCTCTTCTTTTATTAGCTAGAATTCTTATTAATAAGAACGAAATTCCAAAAACACAAAACATCGTATGTTAGCTCAACCCTCACCCCCTGAATATGTGAAGAAAATTATGAAGAGTTACAAACACGGTCATATTTATGCGTGTAATGTACCTCTGTTATTCTAACATTTCAAAAAACTTAAGTTAATAATTATACACTTCAGCAGAGAACTTATGTTTTCATTCACAAATACACTGAGCGATGGAGAGATTTCATAGAACTTTTAACTGGTTTGGAGCAACAAGTAAGCAGTATTTATCAGT